AACCATAATATCTGACGGTTGTCTGCCCACAGTGGGAATGCTGAGTAAATGGTGATATTTGACAAGTATTCATCTGTTTTTGTATTCAAAGGTACAGAATTGGTCGCCTTTTTTAATGCACACGACGTCCACATATTGTTGTCCGTTTTTTTTTGTTTTGTTTTTTTTGTTTTTTTTTTGTCACCCAGCAGTACCCTGAGTATAAGTGTCCAGATTTGAGGGGCATTAAAACTGTTGTTTCCTCCTGTGATTGTTTTGGACAAATCAAGCAGCTCTTATAGATCTGAGGTTAGGAACGGGATGTATGAGGGAAGGAATCATTTCCCATGAGTCAACTACTGTCGATTGTCTTCATCACACAGCCACCGACCACACATTTAAAGATAAACACAAATACCAAAAGATAAACCCAGCTGTCCACTGTCGTGCACACCTTTCCCTTAAAAACACTCGTCTTATATCTCTGCATATTTGGTCACGCTGAGTGCTTTTTATCTGGGGTGTTAAAAGAAAAATGCTTTAAAGTAAAACAATAATGAAATACTTCTTTGAGGAAAAAAAAAATTCCAAATGCACCTTTTTGTCATTTGAACACAACATCATTGGCAACGTATGTAGAGAATCTGTGTCCACCAAAGTGTACATTCATACTTCATCCTTTTTCAACAAGGTCATTCACAACAGCATCGATTATTGACCTTAACGTTGTTATTTTGTTGATGGATAAGTGTAAATTTTTCAATAATTCACAAACAGCAAAACTTCACCATTTTATCTGGATGTAGTAGCTTTCCTGTTTTCACCGCTTTGTGGTGTTGTTGAAAGATGTTGCGGTTTGTCTAAATATGTTGCGTGTTAGAGGAAGCATAAGTATGTGCCTTCTTGTAATCTCCTTGGTGAGCTTGTTAATATTGAGAAGCTGAAGCCAGCCAATTGTGTTTGCACTAAAACCAAATTGCTTTTGTGATGTAGACTATTTAAGCAAGCTTGTTGCGTCACTTTAACCGTACAGTATGCATGAGGGTGAAATTGGTAAGTCTAGGGCTAGAGCTCTCATCTGTTGACCTGTAAACCAGTGCAGCTTAGAGGATCTTGTGAATATATCTTGGCTTAGTTTCGCATTCAGTTTTCTATTCCATCTCCTTACTCATCAAGTTTGTCACGATTTCAACAGTTAAAAAAATAAAAAATAAAAATAGAAAAAAAAAAAAGCAAATAACACATACCATAAATACAATACAGCTTTTACTTTCACATGCCACAGTTAGAGAGTTACACAACTGCAGTAGAGATATCCATTTCTCTGAATCCATGGGAATGCATGAGTATACGAGGTCGCCTCAAGACTATTGGTCAAATTCATTTAGGTTGTTTTTGAGAACTTGTATTTATTACATATTTTGTTGACATCTGAGAAAGGCCTACATGCTTTGAGTCTTACAAATGCACCTTATTCATGTCAGTCCATGTGGGAAAAAAAAAAAAAAAAAAAAAAGGCTGGCAACGTAATATCTGATTTAGCACCTTACTACACAGCATGTTTTCACTTTATGCCAGTTTAACTATTCTTCCATATGTATGATTTCAAAAGTAAATCTCATATTTTGTGAAATTGTTTCATGGGATGTGCCAAAGTTTGGAGGCGATCTCCCAAGTGTTTATGCTTATCATTTTCTTTTCCTCCTCCTTCAGTTATAGCAATGGTATGTTTCCTATAACAGTGTGTGGAATCAATTTATCTCAGCAAACAGTATCATTACTTGCCATTTTACAATAAGCCCTGTATTTCACATATATTTACCAGTGATGTGTATTTGTTATTATAAAGAAAATAGCCGTAAAAGCTTCATTATGTTACATAATATTGTGACTTTTTTCGAAAAACTGTGAAGACTTATCTTGCATATACTTTATACAGAAGTATTAAGCCTTAATACAAAAGACTAAAAAAAGTGTGGAAGAATAAACTGATTGTTGCTAAGTAAGGATGATTTTTGTAAATGTTACCAGCACTTTTTTTGTAATTTTCACTCTCTGAGGTATTGTACAAGTTCAAGCTGTTTGTGAAGTTTGATTATGAAGGAATAAAAACTAGTACTTTCCTGTACTTCACAGAAAGTCTTGTCGCTGTTTTATTTTTCTGCTCTTTTTCCTTTTATGGAGGATTGTCTCATGAATAAACTGCCCAGAAATACAGTATATGCAATAAGGCTTCTACACATGACTCCTCATGTGATTGCACTGACAACAACTGCAAATTGAATCTGGTTAATCCATAAAACCACATAGATGGATAGAAAAAAAATGTATCAGCTAAAATTAATCCCATACATAATATTATTATTAGTAATATAATATTATTAGATACATTGTGCTGTGTGACAAGATCCTGACCAACAGGCTGGATTGTATCCCAGAATGCATTGGGCAGAAGGCAGGAAACACCCTGGACTGGACAAGCTGCCAGTCCATTACAAATCCAACAATGATTAATAAACAATTGCAGTCATACTTCACACCTCCAGGCAATACTAGTGTGCAGTCCACCAGTGTTTGGACTGTGGGAGGAAACTGATGCAGCCAACATGTAAACTCCACACAGAAAAGATTTCCAGGAAGCAAAGCCTGAATTCATCCTGCTGTGAGGAGTCTGTGTTAACCGCTGAGCTGGTGTACAGGACCACACACACACATACATACACAAACACACACACACACCTGTGTAGAGGCCAAACAAGCCAGATGAACTGTAGATGTGTATCAGGTGATCTGGTCTGATGCTTTCACTCTCTGATTAGCCACCCGATTAGTAATGAGAACAACCAGAACCAGAACACCATCAGTTTTAGCTTTTGCTCACACTCAGATTAAGACTGTCTGCTGCAAGATTAAGCATCCAGTAAGTGTTAAACTGTACTTTTCCTCCTGCAAATAAAAATAATGATCAACATCATCTGAAAAGGAAATAAAATGAAATTGTACCTTCATAAAAATCATTGTGCATGCCGTGATGTAAGTGAAATTGATTCCCACCCTTTCATAACCTCCCTATACAATACAATTAAATGAATATCTAAGGTTCAGTTTTAGAGGGGCTTACTGTTGTCAGATTTGAATTTTGCTTTTAACATTAAATTGTGATCCAGTCTGTGTTAATGTCACAGTTATGACTCCTTACACTTAGGTTGTAATCTGGTAAACACATTAGAGAACAAAAATAGGGGGGCAGGAAGATTAAGAAGATGCTCTTTATTGCACTCTAATGCTGGATTCAGGTTATGTTGAAATATTGGTTTAAAAGATTTATTTGGTGGGATGAATTATGAGCTTGTCAGAGGGAAATGTTTGCTTCATCGTGGTGTGGCTTTTTATTTTCTGATTATTTATTTTTAGTCTGGACTATTTCATTTTTCTTAGCTCTCAAGTTTATATATTATAGCTAAAACTGCACTGTCAACATAAATAAAAAAAATACAGAGGCAGCCTAATTACCAAAATGATTTGTGATTTTTTTTTCTTTGATAAAAAATACCTATTTTTCACCACACATAAAGTTAAACAGTCTTTGTACCTGATCATAAATTGGTGCAATGCTGGCGAATGTGTGCTCTTTGAGTAATGACTGTGACACACAAATCAAGTGTTTGAGATAAATCCATTTAATATGCACAGGAATATTAAATAAATGATTCCATATCCATCCATTTTATTTGCTGCTTTATGGCCACTTTAGTAACCAGTGTTTTATTAATTTATTCATGCACCATATAACTACTCTTCCTTTATTTTGTGATAAATTGCATTGTATTGTAAAGTGTTATTGTGCTAGTCTGTACAAGTGGATGGGGGGAAAAACAGCACATTTTAATTTACACCAACAACCTTTAATGTATCAACGCCTTTGAACTTTAACTGACCACTGATTTAGCTGCTCTAAATGTATTGTGTTGCAATGCAGTGTATCGCGCACGTGTTTATGACGGTCCAGTGTCCACCTGCAGTGCATCTGGGACTCGCTGTCACCTGGTACATGGTCACGATGTCACGACAAGGAGATGAATCAGATGTTTTAAGCTTGTCTGAGCTGTAGACGCCCTTCATTGAGAAACACGAGCACGCGTACTTGGTACGGGAGCGCGCCGGTTCCACACTTGTTTGCTACTGGCGCCCCCTGCTGTCAGTCATGCAGCACCTCAGGCCAAGCAGGGGATTAACATCATGGAGGAGTGGAACTTCCGCGTTGTGCGGTGTCACCTCTAAGGTATCTGCTCCTTCATCTGACATTGTAGGAAAAAAATGTTTTTTTTTCAATAGGCTACAAACGGTGTAGGAGATCATCTCGTGTTTATCTATATAACATACGATAATATCTACTCACTAGCGCCTTGTCATCAAATCTACACTATTACACTACCGTGTTCTTCTGTCAAAGGTTGTCAGCTGTGTATGATCACTGTAGATATGACTAGTAAAGGAAGTATTTAAACAGCCAAACCTCAGTCCCATTGCTATCTGACACACCTTGTAGTTGTAATTATTCCAACATGTTTGAACTCAACTGAGGACACACAGCTAAGTTCAATGATGCACTGAACAGACCAGTTTAATTTTATTCATCTACTAGTGACTTGTCAAAATTAGAGCTGAAAGGATTAGGTGATTGCTAGAAAATTAATTGGCATGTTAAAAATCGATCGTGATCAGTCATTTTCACAAGTAAAAATGCCATGCACTTGCTGACACCCGCTTCTCAAATGTGCTGATTTAATGCTTTTCTTTGCTGCATATCATTATAATTTCAATGTCTTTGGATTTTAGACTGATGGTTAGATCTGAAGAAGTCACCTTGGACTCTGACAAACCTCGAAAGGCATTTTTCATTCATTGTTAGATATTTTGATAGATGAAAAATTATTCTATAAATGAAAATTATTGTTAGCTGAAGCCCCAGTTCAAATAAATTTTCATGAACAGCTTCCATCTTAGAGAAACACACTTAGTACAGTAAAAGGAACCTAGATTTATTGTAGTCATTCTGCATTGTAAGGTCTGGTACATTCCAATCTTAAAACACCATTTTTTTTGTTAACATTTCTTCATTGAGATATGAACATAGGGCAATATTCATTCATATAATCTGATGTCTGAGCAACACGACGCTTAAGCTTTTTTTTTTAATGTTCCTGCATGCCATGAAAATGTACAAACCTTATAATGAAGCTCTCCCAAGAGCTAGTCTACATTTCCCTGCTGTTTGTGATGGAATAACTGAAACTGCACTCCTGAAAGTCATTTAAATTTACTACAAATGGTATCCTAGAAACAGGACCAAAACCTCAATAGGGTCAGTAACTTTTATCACCACAAAATTAACGAGCATAAAATTCATGTGCACGCCAGTCTTTATAAGTTGTCTGTCAAGTCGTTTTCGAAAGGCGCTAACACTGAGGTGTTCTACTCTACAGTCCTGGTAGTGACCACGGTCAAACCAGGAAGGCTCAGGAAGAGATAAGCGTGAGTAAATATAGCAGTTGAGTGTAATCCACTTCGTGCATTGCATTATCCTGTGAGTGCACATCGCATGCTATGACAGTGGAGGAGACAGTTGACAGTCAATGGTTTAGTTTGTTCCCCAGAATAAATTTATTCAAGTTGGGACCATACAAACCTAGTGAATGACAGGAGGAGGAGGTATCAGATTTCTTACAGGAATGACATTGGTAGAGAGGGTGTGGAACGTTTAAAATCAAAGATGCACAACGTACAGCCATTGCCCACAGCTAGTGGTGAGACACTATAGTTTGTTCCCATAAATAAGGCAGAATGCTGAGTCCATAGAAATGGAAAGTTATTACATTTAGCCAAATTGGACAGTGATGTGACAACAACGAAGAATTAAATGACTTTCTTCAGCTCATCGTACAACACCAGCACGAAGGCGCCGCCCATGCCTCTGAGCACGTTGGACCAGGCTCCCTTGAAGAAAGCCTTACCACCCTCATCGCGTGCAATCTTACGCCAGCAGTCAATGGTCCCGCTGTACATGATGTCAGCTGAGGAAGAAAGCAGTGGCAAATAGTGAAGCAAACAGAAATAAAATAGAGTACACAGAGGAGGCATCAGAAAAATGACTGTTCTTTGCCTACCAAGCATGGACACTAACAACTGCACATTCAAACGACTACAAATGATAGTGTCAACTAGACTTTAAAGATGCCATAAATACAATCTCACCTCCTTTGCGTCCAGACTGCATCATCATACGTCTACGGACAGTGTCGAAGGGGTATGAAGTCAGTCCAGCAACAGCTGTCACACTCTGTGCAATCATCCAGCTCACCAATATGTGGGTGTTCTTGGGATCTGGAAGCATACCTGTAAATACAGAAGGAATAAAATTACAGATCTAGAAGCTGTAGACTCATCTCTTCAGGGTTTCAAGTGTATGTCAGTCTACAATCAACGTACCCTTAGCTGTGTCATAGATGCCAAAGTATGCAGCCCTGTAGATGATGATGCCCTGCACGGACACATTGAAGCCCTGGTACAAGCCTCTCAGACCATCAGACTTGAAGATCTTCACCAGGCAGTCACCCAGACCGTTGAACTCTCTCCCAGCACCAGCCTTTCCCACATCAGCAGCCAGACGGGTACGGGCGAAGTCGAGGGGGTACACGAAACACAGAGACGTGGCTCCGGCGGCGCCACCAGAGGCCAGGTTACCGGCGAAGTACCTCCAGAACTGGGCGCGCTTGTCAACGCCATCAAGGAAGATCTTCTTGTACTTGTCCTTGAAGGCGAAGTTGAGGGCTTGAGTGGGGAAATATCTGATGACATTGGCAAGGTTACCTCTCCAGAAGGAAAGGAATCCCTGCTCTTTGGGGATACGGACAACGCAGTCCATGATACCCTTGTACTGCTTGTCCGCGGTGATCTGCTTACTGGCATGCTGGACCTGAAGTAATGGAGAAAAAACAAAGAAAGAGGTTCAGGTTTGAAATAGAGAAGCCAGTTAACTGTCGACCATATGACAATCACTAGATCCCCTTGTTGTGACCTTGGTAGATGTTAAACCTGTAAAATTGCTGCAAATTCTCCATGCAAATGCAGTTTAACAGCTCTACAGTACAGGCCAATGTTTACTAGCAATCAATTGATAATGGTTGATATGCTGAGTTATGATTTACCCGACATGTTAATATGACAGTTATAAAAAAAATCTCCATCTTTAACATTAATCTAAAACGGGCGGGGGTCAGAACTGGAGGAGATAGAAACAATGTCGTTGTACAGGTTGATCAGAAAAGAGTGTAAAACTTGTTGACCCGGCTATGAATGACAGGGCCCGGCGCCTTGGTACAGCCATCTCACTTAGCGTTAGCTAACAATCAGAAGTACATTAGCCACAGTGTCTACATGGTAGTCAATTTCAGTGAGAATATAATCTGCATACTGTCCTCTTGTAACTGCATATGAAATATTAGAGTTGTTAATACACTACAGGGGTTTCCGTGTGTTTGTACACAATGTCCCAATGTCACTACGAGCGTTTGTCCTTTGTTAGCTACGCCTGCTAAGGTTAACGTGGGAAGCTAACATTAGCAGTAAGGCTCGTGTAGGTCATTTCACATTACATGGTGACCTTAAATCTTTAAACCCATCAACCTTAAGACTTTGACGTTTCTACATCAGCGGCACATACTTACTGAGCTAAACTACAAGCCTGTGGGTATGAGAGGACGATAGACAGAGACGAGCACTTAACTTTGCTCAATGGCAGTTAGCAGTATCACAGGAGCTAGCTGGCTAATGCAGACAGGCTACCGGAAGGCAGAGTTTTTTTTTTTTTTTTTTACCTGAAGGAGAAGCTTCACTCTCTCGATTGGGGCGACGGCTGTTTTGGAGATGGCAGCAGAGATGCCACCGGCCAAGAAATCCTTGGCGAAAGAAATAGCCGTCTCACTCATGTTGCGATGTTCTTGATGTGTCTTTCAGGAAACCAGTACGCGCTATTTATCCCCACTGCCCTCTATGGCTGATGGCCTGCACCGACGAAATGGCCGATTGGGTAGCTGCGTTGCGGATTTATTTAAGACAGTGGATCGCGAGACAGCACGAGAACTACGTGGAGGTTGTTGGCCAATCCACGAACATCACGAGGTTCCCCGCCAATGAAACTCTGATGTCGTCCCTTCACATAATTTCAATGTCCTAGACAAGTAAATCTTGACATTACAAAATACACTTGATTTAATTAAGACAGAAAACCAAACGAGTTACTGTCTTGAGCTTGATCTTTAATTTGGTTTCCAGCTCGGAGTCATGCCCTCAGACCAATGAAGAGCTTGGGAGAGACAGATTTGTGCCCTGAATCATACTGGGGGAAAGTCATTGGGACGTACAGAGCTCAGGCTGTCAAGGACTGCAGAGGCCTAATCACCATAATGAAAAATAACGTTTCAAATAATATTAAACAACTTCCAGCGACTGTAACTGCAAGTAATAATACTGCAATACCGCTATTGTTTTTCAGTTAGGTGCATTCCTTTGAACTGACATGTCTTAGGCTATATAAGCTAGTCCATGACTTATTAACTGTTAACAGATGAACTGCTGTTCCAGCTTGTGGTGGTCTTTCTTCACTCTGTTTATTATGCCTGTGCTGTTTACTAAACCTGGATGTCATTAGATGCCAGATGTTTGATTTCATCCTTAAAATGTTATTGAGCAACATACTGGATCATGATTACACCAGTGGTGGGAAGAGCACTCAGATCCTCCATTAAAGTAATTTAAGTAAAAATACTATAATCTAAAAATACTTTATTGCAAGTAAAGCTCCTGCATTCAAAATATAACTTAAGTACAAGAACAGAAGTATTATCAGAAAAAGGTACTTAAAGTAGGTCTACTAAAAGTAATTTAAGGTACATGTGCACTACTGCTTAGTTTAAAGGTAAAGCAATGCATCATATATTATAAAATTTAACACATCTTACTATATATTGTATGTGGAATGTTAATTTGAAAAGTATAAAGTATAATACAATAAAAAATACTCAAGTAAAGTACTTGAGTAAATACTTAATTACATTCCAGCACTGTCTGGAACCTCAACTCGATGAGCTCACCTGGTAAAATGGTATGTCTTGAGTTTTTGGGGAGAGCTAACTTGTGATGCTGTGCATCTTTGGTGACATCAATTGCTGCATAAGTGCTGAAATTCCAAAATAAAAGTTTGATTTATCCAGATTAAGCTTGATCAAATTTGTCCACTAGGGGGCGGCAAGAGCCTTAAGTTATTTCTCTTTATTTAAAAGAAAGAAAGAAAGAAAGAAAGAAAGAAAGAAAGAAAGAAAGAAAGAAAGAATAAAAGAAAGACAAAAAAGTATGTTAAGTGTCATTCATTACACCATTTTCATGATCAAAAAAGCTGATAGGGCTTGACATATTGCTGGCTTCCTGTTGCACTCAAGGTCTCAATGATAAGATGTTCTTGTGGTTCATATATCCCTGTGACAGTTTATGAAACAACTTATTTCAAGCCTCATCAAACTACAGAATTGGAAGCAAAATGTGTTTCTCATTAAGATGATGCCAGCTGTTGAATATAGTCTCTAGGGCCTTGTTGATAGCTTATTACACCAAACCATGTTTGGTGTAGCCACACAAAACTCTGATAAGACTGTTCTAATTAAAAACACCGTGATCTCACAGTAATAAACCAGAGCTCGCATTATTGAAGCATCTGGATCTGTATACTGTAAGTTGCAGTAACCTGTGCACGTCTTATCTCATGCACAGTGTTGACCACAGGGAGGAGCTGCTGTGATGCCATGCAGTCAGTGTCAAAGCTCCTCTGAGGAATCCTGCCACAGACAAACTTTTGAAGCAGGAGTAGCTGCTATCTGGAGTAGACCAAGATAACAAACTTGACTTAGTTGAGAACACACTCGCAAACAAGTTGTCAAAGATTATTCACTCACACACGACATAATGTGTTTGATGTTACCGTAGAAACAACTTCATTAAGAGCAGATGGTTTAGTTTGAGTAGAGTGAAAGGTCGCTGTGTACGCCATGTTTACTGTGGATAAGAGTGCCTTATTAAAGGCTTTACTTTGTTGTTCTTGCATTTTAATGACAGTCACTGTCCACTTGTATTTCTTACTGCCACTTGAGCATTCAGTTGAACAGGATGTGTAAATTAATCCACTAATCCCTTTACTGTCATTTAATTATAGGGAGGACAACAGGTCATCCGCATGCACTTTGCAATGCTAAATTGCTTTTGTTCTCTTTTAGAGAGAGGTAGTGGTGGGTTTATTTAATTATATGTTGAGTGTAGTATTTTAGATATAAACTGGATAACTTCATATACTCCAGAGCAAGGTTTTAAACAGACATATGTAGCCTAACTTTAAAGTGAAATAAATAAATAAATAAATGAAGATCAGATCTGTAATCAATCTGTTGACTGATTTTTTAACCAAAACCTACAGGAGGCTTGTTTCTTTCAGAGGATTCAAACAGAAATGTGTAAAAAGTCTCTGTGAGAAGTTAAACTACTTCTCCCAAAAAGCTGTAGTGCAATCAAATGCAAATTTGCTTTGTGTTTATACAGGAAGGAATAATACAGGGGAAGGCAGCCTTTGTTGTACAGTATCTGTACATGCACAGACACAAGCTGCACAATGAAACTGTCTTTTTGGGGACAAAAGTATATATAAAAAAAAAGGGTGAGTGTTACAGGTACACTATTCTTTTATTTTCCACTACATGTCAACCCCTCTGGTCCAAGCAACCCACAACCACAGGCCAGCTGTAATCTGATAGGAGTGAAAAAGAGTGTGGGGCTGCAAACTGACAAATGAGGGGGCGTATTTAATTTAACCCTGAAAATTTAAACTCACCTCAGCAGACACACTATAGAGACAGGTGGGGGGAAAAAAATATAATCATGCCCAATCAGATAGGTTGAGATGAAACGAGAAGGCAGTGTCAGTCAGTGAATTTGTGTTCTGCTTCTTCTGCATGAGAACACGTTTTCACTGAATGCAGATGCATGTGTAAAAAAACACAATATAAGTTTAGTTTCAAGGTCAAGGCCATTAATGTTCATTCAGTTTTAATGCAATCTAAAGTATACACCTTGTGTTGTCCGTCATGTTAACGGCTGGACTTGTCTGCAACAGCCCAGCTGTTCTCCCACAGGAAACATGTTAACATCCCACGGGTATATTCAGCCTTTTCAGGCGCCAATCATATTGCGCCTTTAACAGAGATGCGCCACGCAGTCTCAACACTGTGATCTCCACTCCAGCTGGACAACTGTGGAGCTGCGACGCAGCCACACACCAGTGCAACTGCGACATAACTCGTACTTGGAGACTGTGGTCTGTGTGGCTGGAGCTGAGCAGCTGCAGAGAAACTTTTTGGATACGTGTTTTTGGAATCTCCCGAATGCGTTCACTAGAGATCAACAGAACCGGGATCCGACAAATAAATGGGACAACAAAAATCGCGAGAACTTGAATCGCTCCAGCTGTGTGCACGGTTCAGTTTTGCCAACTTTGTGTACTAGCCCATCCGATCTGCCTCAGTCAGCAGCAGAGGAGGAGGAGGCTGGATGTAGCAGGAGACGGGTCACTGAGCTGCAGCGAGCCGGGTCCGAGTTTCCCAGTCCCCAACTCTCCAATGTCACCGGACAGGATGATGATCATTGGACTTCTGCTCAACGTCTTCTCTCATAGTAAGCATCATATTTCTCATCTCTAACAGCTGGGTCGTTGTTTTAGATGTAGAATATATTACCCACCGTTGAGACTGTATCATTCAGTTAGTCTGTCTGGCTCAGATTATGTTTTCCCTGGTGGAAAATATGTTTTCTAACTTGAACAAGAATGCATGTTTGTCTACAAGAGATTCTCATGCACATGACAATTAGGCTATGGATTATAACAAAGCCACCAGAGCAGATGCACATGAGGACACTGGATTTCAGTTTCTATTGCTGGTAATAACTTAATCATTTTGCAAATTTACAATATTAAGAAGACAGGGGGCTCATGATGCTAAAAAAAAAACACAAAAAACTGGGAATGAGGATGTCTAAGCATGAGACAGATATTTATACAAAATTTAGGGACATTCTCAGTTTTGTAGGTGAGGTTTGAGTGTAACTTTTGAGATGACCCTCGGAATAACATTACAGAGGTCTATAAAATCAGTTTCCCCCGCATTACCTAAGAAGCAGCTTTATATTTTACATGTGGATGACATCATGGGTTCAGGTCTGCTATATTTTAGCCTTGGATGCATTCCAAAGAGAGCTGTTCATCTCCAAATATTGATCGGACAGTCCCAGATCATGGAAATATCACACATGAATTGTTCGACTAATGGTGTTCTCCTTTACATGAAAGGATGTTGGCTTCCACACCTTTGAATTATTGACATTTTACATAAAATGTGCATTAAAGTTGATAGGATGAAGGATTGAATATGAAAGCAAATAAAATCATAACTTCATGGCAGGAACATAATGGATAGTGTCAGTGCTTTATGAGTCTTTGTCCTGATGTTCACATGGACAAAAGATGGTGAACATTAGAGCATATGAATAGGAATTTCTCTGCTACCATATACACACAAGCTCCTGCAAAATGAGTTATAATCATTAAATGCCAATAATAGTGACTGTGGCTGGATAAGAAATGTCCCAGTGGAGCATGATGCTTGTTGATCTGTGGTTATTGATATTGAATTATGTCATTTTTGATCATAAATCCTCTTCAATGCTCGAGCCGGAGCAGAGAGTCTTTTTCATTACCTGAAAGTGATTGCATGTGCTGTCTACAGGTCGTGTATCTGTATCCACTGTTAACACTGAGCATATGAGGACACAACTCCTGTGCTCTTTACTGCAGGAATACATGTAAAATACTGTAAATGTCAGGGTTATTACAGTGGAGGTGCGTGGCTTCACTGCATCCAGGAAAATTCAGATAATGCCAGGTGAGGCTGCCCAGGAGACATAAGTATCATAAAATGACGCCTGCTTTCATGTGAAAGTCAAACCTTTCGGCACCCAGTAAATCATCCAGTGCGTCAGATCCACCTGACAGGCACTTAGGAGAAATCATACCTAGAAAAGCAATTATTTTCAAGTGCTATTTAATTGAGATCGGAGTCATAACGAATGCAGATTAGAATGTCTGCCATGATGTTGAATTCCGCCATTCTACCTAATTGCATAATAATTTATTGGATTTAAATTTTGTTTATTGACATCATTAAAGAAGAGTGAATATTACAACGCTGCTTTCAGTTTTAGAGCCTAATCATAGACTGTGAAGTGCCAGTCTAATGGACATTCTCTGCCTACATCTATAGGTAATGTATAAATAGCCCCTCTGAACTGTATTTCATCTCACCCAATGTTATTTTTACCTCATAATATGTATGGCCTCGAAAAGCTCAACAACTGGAACTATTGAGGTGGGAACTTTAGCTGTAGACAACAGCCTTCCCAAAATGTCTGTCACCACTGACGCCCCACAAAGCTCAGGGCTAAAATTCACCAAAGTCATCATTAATGTGTCAGGAGAGCTTCCCTGTGAACAAAAGCCCCACATGTCAGGACTTCATACTACAAACTACATAAGAACACACTTAGATTCAGTATCTTGAAAACATGTTTCATTATTTATAAACTGATACGTGTCTCGGATTTGATCTAAAACTGAGACGACATATTAATTATTCTCAGGCAGTTATGCCTTGTTTGCATCTGATGTCAATTTCTATTTCCAAATGAATAACTGTAATGGAAAAACAGCTCACATATAATGCATGAGATCACTTTGAATGTGTCCATTCAGAACCTTTGCCCAGATAAATCAGTAGAAAGCTGGCTATTGTTGAATGACGTTAAACTTGACTTTGACCCTTTGCTGCAAGGTCTTTGTGGATTATTGCTAAAGTCGCAGTACAGACTGCAACTGTTGACTGAGTGTTGCTATTTTGGTACTTCATTTAGTGGACGTGATTGAGTCATAACACGGTTGTCATGAATTTATTAGAGCTTCATTTCCAGGCTGTGTAAAGTTACACAGGTCGTAGGTGGACTAATAACATGCTCGAGGTGTTTCTATTCAGGGTTTGACTATCTGATATACACACAGAGGGGTGCACCTTGTGCACACAGGTTTATCCAACCCATGGCCTCTTTATCTCTCCCACTGTGTCATAGACTCTTCTTTTTCTCTCTTTCTGCTGAGCCATTGTCTTTATGTACTCTGTGCTTGTAATTCAGTTTCGTTTAGGACGACAGCACACAAAGATTAAATTGGCAACTTGCCCATTGGACATTACATAGATAAAAAACTATAAAATACACTTTCTGAAAATGCAATTATTTGACATATTAGATTTTTTTATTTTCAAGAAATCATTTTAATTAAAATGCTCCCATCAAGAACAACTTCAACATGAAAACGTGGGCGTCTGAATCACCTGTTTTCTACTGAAGTCACTATCCAGCTCACTGCTTAAAAGCAGAAAGTTTCTTGAATGTTAATTCGCATCATTTATGTGTCACTGTCTGTTATACTTAATTTGTTTGTGTGTGCTCTGCATCTTGATTGTCACTTTTACACGCTTGATGGCACCAACAAAACCCACAGCCCGATGGAAGCTGTCGATATGTGTATCACTTTCTGGCCAAGAAATTAATTTAGGACTGCACCAGGCAGCAGAAGGAAGAAGCCAGCTCCAGACACCCTGACTGGCTGATGTGGCATCTGATGCAAGAATGCATTTGACCATGGCGTACAGAGGAGGGATGTTGTCTGCACAATCCAGTGGCACAGCTCATTAAGTACAATGGGTAACTGTTGATTCAGAACACGAAATGATGATTCTTTTACACACTAGTGAGTTGTCACCTTTGGATGCTTTGACCCTCATCACATGCCCAATTATCCCAAACAGGCATAATTAAGTCATTTTATTATCTTCTCTGCAGTGTTTGGATCCATCTCCCAGTTCTCTCTTCTCTGTTCTAGCTCACATTTGTGTGTTATGCGGTCAAAATGTTCCTTCCTGGGGGAACTGTTCCCATCTCTACTGTATGCCATAATAATTAGAGTGGTCACACCTTGAGTTGCTTATTCCTCACTGCAAGTGAGCATTTTGACGAAGGCTGCATAGCACTGCACATATTTCCAGCCTTGGTGTCGCCTCTGTGGGGTGAGTGCATGAAAACTGATTAAAGCAAGTGCAACTGTGCTGCACTTTTCACTGCTCGGGTCACACAGAGATTCAGCCTTGTTAGCTCGCACAAACTGAGGTGCAAACAAGGGTGTAATTTACCCATGCATGAGAGGCACTTTTGGGGAATTCAAGGATCAGGACATGTGAAACTTTGTTACATGTTAAACTTTTTGAAAAGAAGCTGGCAAGGCCCCTGTCTCAGCTGGTGTTGTGCGATTAGATGAAATTGCAGCTTTTTGCGAAGACAGGGTATTGTCAGGGGGAAAAAAAAGAAATCAAGTTTTCTGAAGTGGGCTTTGTACAGAAGATGTATTTTTATTCTCCTAGTTATCGAGTGAGACTGTATGTGTTCCTCAGTTAGATGAGACATATTATTGCTGTCATCAATGTGGTCTTGATGTGACTGTGTGAAGAGAGCCACAGGAGTCACCAGAAGAAAGATGTGAAATAGACGCATATAGTATGGAGATATTTTTGGATGATTTGGCAAAAATTGGAGGCAGACAGTTTGGAGGGAATAATAAAATCCAGCAGGTGTAGCATCATGGAGGGATTGAGGAGTTGCAAAGATGAGAGCTGAAAAGGGTTAGATGTCCTATAAATGCTGAGGTATGGAGCGAATGGCTCAGGGAACATCAATATACCCAGAAAAATGGGGAAAAACATACGTAACACATGTTTTTTATGGCAAGTGTGTCTAAATACATTTGTTAATCTGTCTAATAAACATAAGAATAAAGTCACTGGTAGTTCACACAGTGTGGATATAAGTACATCTCTATTATAGAAAAAACATATCCAGTTTCTTTAAGAGGAGCTCTGCCCAGAGCAATGGCTATAATATTCCACATAAAGAGAATACAAGCAAACCGTTAAGCATATGTTTAATGTTAATAGAAAGTTTAAATCCGATGAGCTGATTGGTGGAAAGTGCCTAATGGAGAGCTCAGCAGAAATGACTGTGTCTATATGTTTAAATCAGCACTGATGAAACAGCTGTGTCCCTCCTGAGGAGACACCCCTGTCCACTGGTACACAGACAGAGCAGGCCAGCAGATAGGAGGTCTGCTGCGGTCTGGACTGGGGACGCTCATCAAAAAGTCAGAAAGTGAAATGGCTTCACAAACGCTCACTGAGGAATCCATGATAAACACTAATGGCACAAGATGGTGCAGTATTTTTAATCCAGCTTTACTGTGTGAAATAAAGGCATTTTCATTCTTGAAGATGGGGTCAGTCACACATTTTTGTTTTGTGTATTTTTAGGCTTGGACCCAATCTACTAGTTATTGTTTACAAAGACACCCCTTTCATTAGCCATCTGCTCTGTCCAAGTTTTAATAAATATATATATTTTGAATGTAGTAGCTTAAATCAAAATTAAAGTAAGCAATTTGGCAGGAAAATCATTATTACTTTTGACTTATGAATGCGCTCTATTGTCCTGCAGCTTACTTGCTCCCATGTTTTCCAGCTTGGTCTCTTAAGGCCAATTAGTGTGTACTTGCAAATGAACATTCAGTTAACTACACAGTATATTGATTATATTCATATATTCATTTCACGAGACAGGACATATAAATACTGCATTGTCTTTACACCAACCAGGATGAGATGATATCCAGAAGATCTTAAATATGTTGGTTATCAAATGGAATCAAAAGCACTGAAATAATGTGCTACTACAGTAATGAACACAACAGGGTGGTATTGTGAGGCATTCAGACATTAGAGTCATCAGAGTTAAAAGTAAAAAAAAAAACACTGTTGAATTTAGGGCTGCAGCTGATGGTTATTATTTTCATCACCAATTAAGCTGCGGATTGTTTTCTTTATTAATCTATTAATTGTTTGTCTATGAAATGTTGGAAAATTGTGTAAAATGTGTTTAACAATTTCCCAAAGCCAGTTTGGCATCTGCAAAATTCTTGTTTTGTTCCATGACAGTCTGACCCGATGCAATAATGTTTAATTTGCTAACACAGACGACCACATCAGGCCTTAACATCCACGTGCATGTCAACACACTCAGTTATGTACAGCCCGGCCAGGAACTCCATTGGTTTGATCGCCGGTGAGCTGAATGAGTAGTAACAATCAAGTGGCATGTTTCTCCAGTCTCACTTGCTCCATCTTGCCGCCTTGCTGCCATTTCCTCCTCGAGCCTGAGCCCTCCAACGAGTCCCTTTCGTCACGATGCCCGAACGTGTTTCACATCATCAGAGTCGCACTCTCCCACCATGCGCTCCTCTCAAGTCAAATTACTCCCAAACAATCTGGATGCTCTGCTACCCATCCCACGCGCTTGAAAGGGCGGAAGAGAAATTTGCCAAACCACTTTGCTCCCCGTGAATGACGGTGTGTGGTTTGCCATTGATGGTGTTAACCTTCATCAGCTTTGCCTCACAAATTCTATTAATCACCCGAGTGAGAAATCAATAGAGTGTATTATGGCTCACATATCACAGTAATTCATCTCCCATTCGCTTTTTCTCTCCTTTTCTTTTTGCTTTAAAAAACACTCTCCATGCACAGACCAACAATTCCACCAACCCGGACTTTTTACTTTTTACTTCTCAAACAGCATAATGTGAGCACGGTGCTTCTTTATCATCATGACATTAAATAATGTTCAAGTTAGGGAAATAATTATGACCTGTCTACTGGACGAGATTTAACAGAGCTGCTCTGTACTTTATATAGATTTTTGTTATCTGTGTGTGTGTATGTGTGTGTATGTGTGGTTCTGTTTGTTGGTGTGGTGTGATGGTGTGTCTGTCAAGTGCTGTCCTGTGTGTGACGTATGGGGTGTCCGTAGCGAAAGCAACCTACACGATGCCCTGTACTCTCCACTCTGATCCTTTGTGCGATACATTGTGGTTTTAATACCTTTGTGAGCAAGATCGTGTGTTTGTGTGTGTGCGCGTGCACGAGCACAAAGAGAAGTTCTCGGAAACTAAAATTGCTGATAGTCTCTCTTTATCAATGGTAAGCCTGGGGGAGCAAACACTGAGAAGGAATAATGAATAAACTGTTCGCTGCCCAAACAGGAGATTACATGAAGTCTATTTAAATTGCAGCTCAACATGGTGGGATTTAATACTTTAGTATAATTATCAAGGTATCATGATACATAGATATACAAATACACAGGTAATCATCACCTTTACATACCTCGGGGAGCTGTGACTGAATATGAGTCATTGCTCTGTGTGTTTTTTTTGTCCCACCTCTGCCTATGGAGTCACTGCAGTAGCCTTGGCAGGTCTCCTGCTGTGGCGATGAAGCGTAGCCTCTGTTTATGATATGTTTCATGCCAAAGTGAGACGTGGACCTCATGTGGTGCCTGAGATTGCAAAACATGCAGCAGCAGAATTGGATTGCAGCCGTGCTTTGTGCCGCCAGTCAGCAGGAGCTTAATCGAAGTGTGTGACCAATCTAACACAATGCCGTGTGTGTGTGTGTCCGTATATGAGCTTGTGTGATGTACAGTATATGCTAATGTACTGAAGCATAACTACATGTGAGAATAGAATAGGTGCAGATATTTGTTAACAGGCGAGCATTAAGTTCAAACGTGAACGTTTACGATATTTATTTATAGCTGCAGAATATATTTTTAAAAGTCTGCCGGCCTGTTCCTTTTGTGCCGTTAAAAAGTGACAGGATATAGCAAATTAACGAGATAAAGCAGAAAAAAGTGTGTGTGTATATATATTGCTTACTCAAGCTATTTTCTTTCTCAGTCTGGGAACACTGGGTATAAAGTGTAATTGCTGGGGACAATTATATGTCACATTTAGGAAAATCATTTTCCTGAAATGCTCCTTTAGAATGTATTTTTATGAAGAGGGCTTTCATCTTTTCTTCCTCGGGCTTCATCTGGCCTTCCAGCATTGTGTTTTTCATGGAGCAATAATCAGTATTATAAAATGATTTTTTTAGTCTTTCACTTCCAATCAATCTAGACACAACACTGTCAATCAAAACGGCCTTAATGCTTAATGACTATGGACCAACAAAGCTGTTTTTATACTGAACAATGTATTCGTTTTAGAGGAAATGTGGCTGGTGATATGCAACGCATTTGTGCTCAACGACCCTTGCATAACTTAATGGGATGAAGCCTTTTAAATACATATATGGCTGATGTTATTCTACAATATCTTCAAGCAACATATTTTGCAGGTGCAATGTGGTGATGCATCATATAAAAACCGTTTCCCTCAGACTATTTGTTTGAGACAACTTCAGGGGGAAAACATCCTCATAGTGGGTATTTCAGACTAGTCACTGTCTGAAAGCAAAATTGGAAGGAAAAGTATCAGTTGTTTTGGAGAGAAAAACATGAGCTGTGCTGAATAAATTGGTTTTGTCTTTATCATTACATGTGGAGACAGTGTCTGGCTTTGGCAAAAAGCTTGTTCCAAGTGGAAGGGACCCTGCTGCAAATGGTTTTGCCCGCAGCTGTTCATGTGTCCTTTTACAATAATAACAGCAGTGCTTTTGTACAAGACATCCACGAGTACATGTCTCTGTACTGTAGATACTTAATGTCACATCTAAAATGTTCAAGCACCACACCAATATTTTTACATCTTTCAGTCCATTTTTCACTGTACATTTTTCATTTGCTAACAATGATTTACAAGAGCATATCACTGTTTTTTTAGACTGAAGTATGTTTGCTACTTTCCAGATCCGTTTATACCACTAAGGCAGCTCTACATTTGCTTGAGGAAGCTAAAAATCAGTTAAAGTGGTTTTGTGGAAGTGGAAGGGACTCTATTGGAAATTCTGCTTTTGTCCAAGATCCAAGAGGCATCTAAGACTTGAGAGGTGGATGTTGAACAACATCCGTTTTCATGCAGGAAATGACCAAACTCACTTTTCAAAACCTTTGTGTTTAATCATCCTTTTTTTTCTTTCTTTTATGAAATTTTCTGCCGAACTTATGAATGCAACGCTATTAGGCAGCTGACTCTCAAATCTTGGTTGCCCACGTTGCTTAAAAGCACTTGAACAGACCAGCAGGGAGAGTGTTCATGTGACATTAGCATAGGAGATTAAACAACAGAATGCAAAAAAAAATTAATAAAGGTGCTGTGACGGAGGATAAGGTAAAGCCTGACAGACGGCATATTTGAAACTTGACACCATAGATTTTACTGAATTTATGATATCATGTGTTGAGTTCAATGATCCAGGAGCATTATTGTGTGTGATACGAAAGATGACGCTAACACACACTACCTGGCTTTCACACAGTACCACAGTGTGAGGTGGCGGATGGTGATGGACTTGTGACTCTCATCAGTACAAACTTGGAGACGATGTGCTGAAGAAAATGGTATACTCATAAAAAGTATGATACACCTGTGTGCATAATAACAGGAGAGAAGTCAACTGGGAGTCCCAACGAGAAGATGATGAAATAATTATGATATAATTATAACCATAACACAACCCTATGGTGTTGTTAAATTATCTGAGAGACTCCTGTGTTTCTGTGAGAAGCTCTGATGTTTCGCTCACGTTGCTGCTCCATTACACTCGTGTGTTTTCAATTAAATCTTCCTGGTTGGATATTATAGTAACCTGCAGTGCAGTGGAGAGTCTAAGGAGCTCTTACTTTGTTGTTGTAATTACAACCTATTTAGCTTAAGGACTAATATTGGATGAGAGATACGCATTATAGAGCAACGAATCTATTGAGGGTAATGTTGGTAAGCAGCCAACAGCTTTGTCCACTGACAATATCAACCTCTCCTCCAGGTGGTGTTCCAGTATCTGCATCCTTTGACTGCCTGGTGGCGGAGCAGGGCTGCATCCAGGAGCAGTCCTGCATGGTCCTCTATCGACTGCTGGAGTACTGTGCAGCTGAGGAGGCGGTGTCGCCCCTTGGCCCAGATGCTCGTTTGGAGTGCCTGGAGGCCCAGAACTCCTTGCAGCAGTACCGCCCCCTTCAGGTTTGCAAGTGTCAGCGTGGCTCTCGCAGGGAGGAACACTGCCTCAGGGTCTACTGGACTGTGAGATTTGCAGGTGGGTTTAAGCATTGGCATGCGCGCTTGTGTGTGTGTGTGTGCGCGTGTGTGTTTTAATCTCAACTGCATAATTCATGTTATAACTTCACTATGCTTGTGTTTTTTAGCATATGATGAGTATGAGGTGTCTCCATATGAAGAACTGGAGTTAAATCTGGTGAGAAACATTGAGATGTCGCGTATGGCCTCCATCATGGCAGGTAGAGCACTACTCTTACTCTTACTCATTTGACACACAAATAAAATATAAGTTGTGATTTTTATTTCCTGATATACGTTACTCCGTTTCCCCTCTCAGCTTCCACCCTATCTGTGGATGGCCAAAACCAGTGTCTGAAGGCAGCTCAGGACTGTGGTCTGTATGAGAAATGTGGCTCCCTGCGATCAGAATATGTCGTGGCCTGCACCAAGCGAGCAACAGTCTCTGAGAACAACTGTAACCGCCAGAAATGCCACAGAGCCCTGCGGCGCTTCCTTGAGCGCGTGCCAGAGGAGTACAGCTTCGCTCTGCTCTTCTGTCCCTGCTCTGACACCCTGTGTGGGGAGCGCCGGAGGAAAACCATCGTCCCGTCATGTTCCTATGAGGAGAATGGCAGAGGGGAGGAAAGGGTGGGCAAGCCTAACTGCCTCAGCCTGCAGAACTATTGCTCCAGAGATGAGCTGTGTAGGTAAGACGGGTGCAAGACCTCAAGTGTCCCTAATAGGTTTTGTACCTTAGACCAACACAGAATAGAAGAAATGCAGGTTGAACAATGCATAAGGTGTAAAGCATCACAGATACTACAAAAATAACCAAAGAGAACGACTCTGCTCCCTATTCAATGCAGCCAACAAGAACAGCAACACTACAGGCACAATGTTGAGGCTTTGACCACTAGCTGCAGTATTATGAGCAAGCCCCATTTGGTTTGTATCACATATAGAGCCACAACTGACAAACAATCATTTTCACCATAGATTCACCTATTGATTATTTTCTAGACTAATCGATACAACATGAAAAAATGGTGAAATATGCCCATCCAAATTTAACATAACCCAAAGTGACACATTCATATAGTCTATAGTCTAAAATCCAAAGATATTCAGTTTACTGAATTATAAGACAAGGGAAAGCAGCAAACTGTCACATTTAAGAAGCTGGAATCACCAAATGCATTTGGGGTATTTGCTTGAAAAATAACTTAGTTATCAAAATAGATGTTGATCAAGTCTTATCAACTAATCCTCCTCTTAACAGCTCACACACAAACATGCACACGTGTGAGCGTGCTAGCAACATAATACACATCCCACCTGATTAGAGTGGACAGTAATGTAAATTAGTTTCACGCTATCCCACCGTGTGTGGCCGTAACACACCAAGAAAAGCAGCAGTGCAACAGCAAATGTAGAGAAGAAAACGACTAACCGACGTTAACATGGATCCAACATATGAAGGTGTCAAAGTATTGACAAGTCACCTTTTGAGCAAGTAAAATACATTCAACAGGTGTGTTAGGCCTTTGGCCTCAGGACCCAGCTGCTTTTTGCCCGTGATAAGTGGCCATGTAACCATGATGACATAATCCAGGATGTCCTGAAAACAACAGAGTCAGTGGAGGACATCTGATCGTTTATTAGCCTGTGACTTACATAAATTCTGGCACCTGCTTGGTTCTTAGCTTAAATATCAAAGTATCAAAAAACTAAGTTTTTATTTTGAATTGATCCTTTCCTGACTTATAGTAGTGGATTAAAATCAAAAGACAATTCTTTAGCCCAACAACAAAGCCCAGAAGGATTATGTTTTTCAGACAGACAAAGATGGATGGGGGACTCAGAGCTGTTTGCTTTTAGTGGCCCAGAACTCATGGCTATCGTCCCGCTCATCAGTATGATTATGCCAAACTTCTGTGAGGGTGATTTTAGTCAGTTCTATCTCTTCTTATTGTTCATACATGTATAGGACTTGCTGACATTAATAACAGTCTAGGCTGTGTCTAAATGTTACAGAGATTATTCATGATAAGAGAAAAACAAATATGTGAGTTATTTGAACCCAAGAAGGTCATGCAAAATCCTCCCTCTGAATTATTAGTAACAGATTTTAAAAAAAAAAGAAAAAAAAAAGAGAGGAGCATGAACTACAGTTAATATGAGGCTCTTCTGTTTTACATGCAGCTTTCCATGTGTTTCCACTGAAGACTGTGGGAACAGCACAGGAACACTCAGCATGTCTTTGGTTTTAGACATACAGTGTCATAAATTTTCCTCAGACTTCTGATGAAATGTCTGAGTGATTCAGCTATATGACAAGATGTTTAAGACGTGTGTGCTTGTTGTAAAGATTAATAGTGAGCATCAGACATCTACTCTTAAAATCTTCAGCTTTTAATCCTCTGGAATTAGCTCTTACTGTCAATACTTAGGATATTATTCTCTCCCTCAGTACCAGTACCATGACTATGTATGACTGTAGGACTACAATGCAATAATAATATTAGACCTAACTTTTTAGTGTTTTGCCCCACGGAGAAGAAAGTTTTTAACTACTTTCCTAAAGAGAAAAGGGTGGTGTTGTTGGGCTGGGAAAAAAGCAAAGAAAAATAACACATGGTTTTTATTCAAGTGCACGGTTATCAAATTTTTTAGTGTAGTGTGGTTTGTGTTGTTTTGTTATAGCTCGACCCCAAATCCCAAAATGAAATTGTCAAAGCACTTTACAGCGAACTGTTGCCCTGTGCTGACACATGAAAAAATCTCCTCTGTGTGTGTGTGTGTGTGTGTGTGTGTGTGTGTGTGTGTGTGTGTGTGTGTGTGTGTGTGTTTCAGATCCCGGTTCGCTGATTTCCAACATAACTGCCAGCCCTCCCCTCTGTCTGCCTCTGGTTGTATGCGAGAGAGCAGAGCCATGTGCTTGAAGGCCTACGCTGGACTCATAGGTGAGATGGAGGAAAAGAAATGAAAGCAGTAAAGAGGCCAAAAGAGGGAATAGTTAAGAAAGCAAAAACATCAGTAGGTGTCTAACAGTGATATTTGGTTTATATAATTTTCATTTTGTCACACAAATAAATCTACAGGGGTTCATAAATGGTCAACTACAAAAACTGCTGCTCTGGGAATCCAGTCAGCATCACTTCAAATAAACTTGATTTAAAAATTGCGTATCCAGCAGCCCTACAAAATGTTTGCGGTAATATTATTTCCTTTTGTCTCCCACACCGTATAAAAAGTAACTTTGTGTACCTGTAATTATCAATATCGAGAGCTGGAAAACTGGTGACACTGGATCCCCATGGGAAACTAATATCATTGGCTGACCGTGTCTTACCTTCCATAGAGGTGTGTGCTGCATTCAAAAATTGAAAATCTTCTGCCTGAGGGAAATATTCCTGACAAAGTTTTTTAAAGTTGCACCAATAATATGACTTCTTCCTCTTCTTTTTTCATCCAGGAACCATCATGACTCCCAACTATGTGAGCAACAGCAGCACAGAAGTGTCCCAGTGGTGCACATGTGACGGCAGTGGGAATGAATTGCAGGGCTGTCAGCGAATCCTGCATATGTTCAGCAACAACATATGTCTGCGTGAGTAAAATGTCACGAGGTTACCACAGACAGTACAATAATCCTTTAAGGAGATATATTTGCAAGTTTTACTATTGCCACATAGCTAACATTAGCATTAACAGATGTTTACTTCCCAGTCTAGAAGACATGCCGTGAGTTCAGCATCAAACTTCTTTCCTTTACTTATAAGAGCCGTCTCCAGTGGTGGAAAGCAACCCTCTTGTTTTGCTTCTATTCCTATCACTGCTTTTCTTGCACTACAGTTTGCATGCTAAACAGCTAGCCTCGGCCTCGTCTGACTGTCTCGTCACTTTCCCATACTGAGTCACTGTAGTGCCGAGCCTGCCCTGAAGAACTAGCTCAGAGGGAGTATTATAACCTCTGGTCTTGTAGACACAATGATGGCTGAAGCTCTTGGCAAGACTCGCAAGTAAACAGTTGTTAATGCTAACGCTGGCTATGTAGCAACAGCAAAACATACAAATAGCTCCTTTAATTTTCTGGATGTTTCAGTTTTGCAGAATTATTTTTTCACTGTTTTGCAGTGAAATGAGTCCAAATATACCATTTAAGTAGTGATGAAGTTGTTAACAGGTGTGACCTGAAAAACTTGATCAACATTTTCCATTAAATAATTGGATAAATGCTTATGAAGACTGCCTCTTACCAAGATTATTGTGTTTGTACATTAACATGTCAATCAAAAATCAAAGTATTGGGAGTTTTCAATATAGGAATATTTCAGTACAGGAACATTGGATTATTCTTACAACTCAGTCCAGTAGTTTGAGTGACAGACTGTTTCCAGACTTCAGACACGCTGCTCAGTTTGATTTTAAACAACTCAACTACTGCTGCCGATAATTTTTCCTTCGTCGAGATAATGACAAAAGAAATATTACCTTTTTAGTTTTCACATCTGAGTTAAAGCTAAACTGACATTGATTGATGATTGAGATGCAGTTCCAACTGAACATTTTATAATGTGCATTAATGCAGAATTCAAATGAGGTGGGTTGTAATTGATTATAAAGAGGATGAACTACTGAACCATAATGTTTTCTTATAAATAAATAAATGGCAAGGGACATTCTCCTTAGTGTGTGGTTGGCTGCCGATTGTGAATGGGATTTCCATGTTCTGTGGAGTCAACAAATAATTTCACCAAATCTGATAAACATAAGTGACTTCTTGTTGAATTGTTGCCAAACCAACTGGGGTGGAAAGAAGAAAGAAACACCTCAAGAAGTACTGATTAAGTATAAATGTCTCAGTTTATGTAAAATGTACTTGCAGTAACAATTGTCTAACAATTTTTACTGTGAAACACTGAAACAATGAGGGTCAGAGGTCAGGTTATTTTAATTGAAAGAAGAATCCACTCTTGAATGAATCAGTAGAGGTCAGTTTTACTCTTATTGTTTAGGGTAAAATAAATTGTGATGGCAACATGTGGAGAGAAGAATAAACAGAGCTTAATACACAAATTCACATTCCCATGTTTTAGTAATATTCATTTTCCTTTTATGTATTCCACCATTTTGCTTTTGTTAAATAAGCTAAAACTGCAATGAATCCCATTCTGAAGTTAATTTTCAGCATCATCTTTGATGTACATTACACAGGCAGTTTTGTCTTCTTTAAGGAAAAACAATACAGCTACGGTAGTGGCTCTGTGTGGCTATACTTAAGCACAATGTCGCTTTAAGCTAACATGCTCAAAACTAAGCTCCAAGGAAAATTGCTGGGCTGTGAAGTGATTTAGGTGTAGTGGCTGCATGTGGTATTGCACGGGACCGTCACACAATGGCACACAATTTCTCTCAAACACATTCATTGGACAAGGAGCTTCTGAAAAATGCTGAAAACATTTTTATGAGCATCATTTGAAATTATTATTTTTAATATCAGAATTTGATTCAGTCCAATAATGTCTGGAAAGTCTAGAAGAGCCATATTAATAAATTATTTTATCCCGTGATTTGTGTGTGTTGGAGAAGGAGCGAGCATGCTCTATTGGCCCTAAAACATGGAAGCATTAGGAAACCTGTGGAGACATATGCATCCAGGGAGCAGCTTTCATGGGAATGAATAGGGAATCATCTTTGAACATGGCACCAGTTCTCTAATATACTCATGGCTCATTATGACAACGGTAACATGTTAATGTTTAGTAGCTATAATGTTTACTATGTTCACCATATTAGTTTAACATGTTAGCATGTTAACCTTCCCTGCTTAGCACCAAAAAAAAGTGCTATTGTGGCTGATAGGTCATTAGTTGTACAGGTATTTAGTCAGAAAACAATTTTATATTATTTAATATTAGACAAATAATGATAATTTTGACCTTGCACTACATGGAAAGTCAGAGGATCACCAAAGTTATTACAGTTCATCCTGAGGGGCACATGGATATATCTACCAAATATAACGGCAAGACATCCAGTGGTTTTGATAGTAATGCGATCTCTAGAGGCTAGAAAGTAACTAATTCAAATATATTTTTCCCAATCATGCATACTATCTAGACTTGTAATTCTTAGAAAGCCACTGATAATATTTTGGTGATGTTTCAAAGACGAATAATGGTGTGAACCTAATGAAGATGACCCCTGCTGATTCTGTTTCAGGCAATGCTATCAACTCCATGGGAGTCTCTGCACCTCCTCCTGTGGAACACACTCCTGTGCCAGCCTCTCAGCCTCCCCCGCGTGTCTTCCAGGAGAGGGTCCACATCAGTGTTAACACCCTCCCTGAATTCACCAGTGTAAGTGCTCTCTACTTCCTCACTGTCTCACCATATGCTGTTGTTAAACACTTGTTACAAGTTGAATTGAAGAAGTGGTTGACTGTGTATCAGGTGGTAACACCTAAGTATCACAGGGACTGTAGCAGTGAGATATGCCCCGCAGTTCTCTTCATAACCTGAGATTATTTCTCTCCCTCTATTACCCCACCACCTCTCATTGTGGCTCAGGATTAGCCGTAGGTGTTTGCAGCATTAGACTCAACCCTTACTGTTAATATTCATGTATGAACACTCATCTGCCCCATATTTCTCATTTTCTCACCATTTTAATCCTTCTCATTCCCCATTTACTGCTCCTCCTATCCCATCCCATAGTCCCTTACAGCACTGAAACGCTGCTGCTGTTGGCCTGCATAATGGACATTCACATAAACAGTTTAATTAAAGATAATGCATTTGAGTTTCCTAATTGTTATGTAGCACTGAAATGGGTTTAGATGATGCCATTTCTTATGCCAATAAATGTCTCCTGTCATAAAAGAAAGTTTCATATAATGTTATTAAGATTAAAATTTAATTTCAGAAAAACATCAAACTCAATTGCTCACAAAAACTTAAAAAATTAGAAATGGATACTGAAAATGCTATGTTACAACAGTAACTGAAAGGAGGAAGAACAAATGCTCTCGTCAAGTTTTGATGCCAGTGGTATGTCAAAGCCAATTTGACTAGACTTTAGAAATAAAACTTGGGCCAAAGCAAAGGTCAGAGACAAAGGCTCAGTCTCTTTCAAGCCAGTAGACACTCACTTCCTGTGTCTGAGTGGAAGCTTCGCCATATTGAAGGTAATCCCAGAGCAGTTAGAGGGATGTATGTGGAATATATAAGCTTGCAACAATGAGAGTTTGCTGAATTATGACACTATCCCGAAATCTAAGTGCACATGCCAGAGAAGGAAGGATGTATATATATATACATGTATAAAGTTCTGTAAAATATTATTTTGTCAGCTGTGTGAGCTGACAATGTTGTTTTATGAGTTTTCTCATTTACAATGGATGCATTTCACTAGGGACTGATTGGTGAAAATTAAAATTGTTTTCTATTTTATATGGCATTGTGTTCTTAGTTTTTCCTCTTCATTATATATTTGTCATGGTTTGCTGTGATGGACAATTTATGTTTGAGTTTTTATATTATATTTGGACTATATTAGTTTGGTCATTGTCATTTCCTGTTTTATTTTGTAGTTACTTTCCTTGTGTGTCTCATGATCTATTTATTTCCTGTCTTTGTCCTATTTCCCTCCGGTTTGATTGTCTGCCCTGCCCTAATTCGTTTCACCTGTGTTCAATCACCCCTGCCTCCCTTGTGTCTATGTAGTCTCTGTGCTCCCCTTTGTCCCGGTCAGTTCGTCCTGTTTTACCCTGTGGAACTTCTGTTTGGATTTTCAATGTTTCCTTGCATCCCTTACTCCTGTGCTCCTTGTGTTTTTGGTTCAGTAAAGTCATTTCACTCCACCTTACAGCATTTGTGTTTTGTCTGTGTTTGGGTCTCGCTAACATAAAACGTGACAATATTTCTCCGGACAGATACTCTGAAGGCATGGTGGAAGTCTGTCCACACGTTAGAGAATATGGCTTGCTTAGAGTTGTTGATGATTATATAATTTTTACATTTGACAATGTGGTTTTACTTATTTTCCGCAGACTATTGTGTTATACATTTCTTATGTGTTTAATTTCATGCACAGTACAAGAAGACAAACTAGCAGAGCTACCAAAAATTTGCCTCCTAACACCAGTCAGTCTTGTCAGTTACATTACCCTGCCCTAGCGGTTCCTCAAGAGACTCTTGATTTTCAGGTGATGATAAGTTTCTCTTTAAAAATGACAAAACAATCACTTTGTCTCAAAATTCACTCAACTTTTACCAATTGGCTTAATGTATATGCATCCATCAAAAATGTGTTTTATAGCACATGATCACTGATTTGGGATAATATATTTGCAGGGAAAAAGCACACAATGTAAAACAACAGCTGGGCAAGCAAGCATCAGTATCCATCCACCTGTTTTTATACAGTACAGTCTCCCGCTACAGCTTTGCCCTCCACAGCTGCAAATTTGACTTCACGTGGAGCGGCCCTCTGTTTTTAAAGGGCTTGTGTGGAGGGACCTAATGAAATTGAAAAGGCCAGACGTGTATCACCTTGTGTCCTGATACACACTGGAAATGTCCTTATACTGTGTTTGTATTTGTATTTCAGCTGCAAACCTCAGACGCTCATTTTGGTGGACAGATTGGTTTTGAGCCACGCGACTATCAAATAGATTCTGCTGTTGATCTGGATCTGGGATTTCTGCCAGTTTATGAATATTGTTTTCTTAGCCACGATAATGGGCTGAATAGAGACAAAGACTAGGGTCATACTTTGAATCAAATTCAAAATCGAAGTTATTAGACGTGGTTTTCTGAGAGTTGTTGATTACTTGCCCCCTAATTCCTTTTGATGTCTTTAATGTTTTGTTACACCAGAGTCTAGAGGAGCCCTGTGCGCATGGCTGCTTTTTATACCTGCAAATCAGCCTTAATGCGTGTTGATATATAGAAAAGTAATTAAGGCATCAACCTGATATACTCTGCACTCTGTCACCATTTCTATCTTGGTTTGTTTGGTTTGTTCTAAAAGAAGAACCCCTAGGAAATAGACAACATAGTGCTTGTGATTAACCCTTCATTCACACCCATGTTAGAAAGATCTGAAAATGTAGCTTCCTAAAAATATCTAAAACAAACATTATGTCAAAAAGTGGTACAATGCAAGTGCATTTATCAAATTTATTCGCACTGGTAAATTAATCATTTCTTGTACTGCAGCTTTTTACTAGTCTAATGGCCTCCAGAATAAAACCTATTTGTTGCCTACATGCAGGCATCTAAAACACATTCCTGACGGCGTTATGTTGAAAGAACAGAATACTTTCCTTTTTGCCAATAATTTTATAGCTGAGGCGAGCACCACCTTGTCATCAGTTCTTGTCAACCAGCAAATAAATGAAAAAGTTAGAACAGTTTCATTATAAGAGCAGTGCAACGTTGTCAATATTCTCTGTTCTCCTCCAAAGGAGTTTAGTTTACTTATTACAGAGCCAGAGCTGAGCCTTTTTCACACTGACATTTATTTTCAATAAATCTTGATCTTTCATGAAGAGCAGGCCCCAAGTGTATGTAGGTCTGGACTCTTTCAACTCTGAAATCATGAGGGAATGTTAGAAATCTAAACACGAAACAGCATAATTCAAATTAACACGGAAACTCAAATGTTGCCAAGTAGCAGACCCTTATACACTGTATGATTATGACTATGTTACGTTATTGGCTTTGCAAAGATTGTATTTGTTGCAGGGTTTTTGCCAGTTGGTCCACAGTCACGGCAGCACCGGGGCTGTTTTTGGCTGCAGCTTGAGGACATTTTCATATGTAGTTGTGAATTCTGTGTTTTTCACGTGGACTATCTTGCGAAGTTTACATACTGACCTTCCCCCGCATGCTTCACCACCTCTGTTAATTGGAAGAATCACTCTTTCCCTGCTTTTGCAGATGGAGGACAGCGAGGGAGAGGAGCAGCAGGAGGAGGAAGAAAGCGAGGAATTCAATGTCATCCCGCCTTATTCTGAGAAGGACTCTAACATTGAATCGGGGGCCAGAGGGAGTCAGCGGGGAGCAGCTAGCCGAGCAGTGCTTGTGTTACCATTACTGCTGCTGCCTACACTCATCCTGGACTGGAAGTGTTGGAGCTACTGAAGCCTCCATCTCATCCTCAACTCATCTTTTACTCTTGCTACCACTTTCAAATCCATCACAACACTCAGAATGAACCACAGAGGACATTTGTGAGGAAGAAATGGAAATGCTCCTTCTTAACTTTTCTCTTTCTTTCTTTTTTCAAAAATACTCTCACTTTATTTTATTATTCTGTTTCTCTTACCACTGCCTCCTCAAGAGTTAAAAGATATCAGTAGTCCTGCAGCATCTGCCATGTCTTTGCTCGAGTTCTCTTCTATGAACGGAAGGGAACAACGTGAGCAGATACATGAGTGCATGGCTGAATTGAGAAGTGCTGTCTGGGCAAACACTCTATCTAGAGCCTGCTTCACACTCAAAGTACATCCACTTTTTTTAACAAGAAGCACATCGCCTAAGGCTACATCCACTATACATGCTCCCAAAACCTATAACCAGTCTACTCCACTGCAACCGGACCTGAGCTTGATTTCTATTTCATAACTTATGTCACATCCGTTTCTCTGCTGCCCCTTCGGCTCTTCCTTTCCCTCCGTCATACAGTGGTTGAGTAAAATAATCCACTTTACAACAAGTTAATAAGAAACTGCACCGCACTTAAACTGCTTTGAACCACACACACAAAAAAAACAGCACTTTTTTAAAACGGCCTCATTTTAAAAGTGATAAGATGGGAGCCGATGCTTTGTCACACAGAGATCTTATGCCTTCTCAACTTTTGGTTCTTCTCGCTCCGTTCATCAAAAAGCAGAGTGCAACAGTCCCTCTGCTCTGCCTCTTTTCTTAACACGCCACTTAGTACCATTCCTACCAGGCTGAGTGGCTGAGAATTCAACCACGGGCAAAAGCAATGAGATCAAATTCTATTGTAGAAATGATGAGCAGAGAAAAGCAACATAAGCAATTACAGCACAATTCAAATTGCTCAGCATGCCGAGGAAGTCTGGAGTAAGGCTCAGGGGAGGAAATAGCCAATTTACTGCTGTCATACCCTCTCACTTTTTTATCCTTAGGAGATGTGTTTTTAGTGCTCCTTCCCCCTCATGTGCTTTAGATGTTGTGAGAGCGAGATGCGGAGATAGCGATGGACACAGGAGGCTGCAAAGCCTGCTGGCTGCTCTGATCGTTGAGCAGCACATTGAGCCATTATCTCTGCCTGAAATATCTTTTGCTGATGTTAATGATTTTTTCTCTTATGGCTCATTTTCTTGTGAAATTACGCAGCTGCAGGGATGTAGGTAAAGAGAAGTATAGGGAAGTTTTTTTAAGAGGGAGAAACTTGTCTAATTTGAGGATGAGTTTGCAGGAAATAGCCTGTCTGAGCTCTGCAAGGAAACTTTCTCATGTATGTTCATTTATATTGAAAACAATCGTGTGTAATGTAATATTTACAGTGATTGTGATGGAGTCCACTGACCTTGCCGTCTTCAAGCAGGTCTGAGCATTTGCAAAAACATATCAAAAAATAAAAATTATTGGTTTGCTGTGCATGACAAAAGAGCACAGCTAAACAGGCTCATCCAATCCCACACCAGAGCCACAGTTTGAGTGGCAGTGCATTTAAATTGGAATTAAATGTTTAAATATCACTTGAGGAGGCAATACGGCCCCACTACTTTTTTGCCCCCACTACTAGACTTGTTTACATGGTGGTTTATTGACACAAAGACTTGACGCTTTGATTTGGACAGACAGTTTAAAGGCAGAAACGCACTGGAAGCAAAGCCTTTTCAAATACAGGTCCATCACCACTTCACGCTTGGGTTTGATTTTTAGAAGTCACAGTTGAACTAGAATGGATGTTGTAAGGTTAGTAGACTTTTAGCGACTGTTACCCACTTTAGGGCAAAATGACATTGTGCAGCTTTTTGACCACATTCTTGCTGAGAGTTTGGCTGCAGGAAGTTAAGAAGTGGATGAGGAAAAGCCCAGTTAACAAAGCTCTGAAGTGTGCCCGCAAGCTTAGTCGGTGTAAAAAGTACCTACTAAGCTAAAGTAGCATATTTGGACGGAACATTTCAAATAAAAAAATCTGGTATCCAAATATATGAACTAGAGCCAGATGATAGAAGAGACGTACTGATAAATAAACATTATGCATCATGGCATCATTGATGCTGCTAATTCAAGTCTCTCAGCTGGAGTGAGTCAGAAAGCATCAGTTGAACAGCATCCAGTGACTAGTGTCAGTAATGACATCCAGTGCGATCTGGCCTTAATGACTGAATGTGAGTTTACATGTATTTTCACATTTCACTGGGTTTGTTTATATTTGTAAACTATGTAAAGTAAACATTTACATCAAACATAACTTGTATTTTTTTTTGATGATTTCAGGAAAAGAGAAAAAAATGTTTAGTCTCCATCCATAAATGAAATTAATTCTTGAAGAAAATATGTGAATATTCCCCAACTTACTCATTTTTTAGATTGTATCTTGAACATCCAGTTGACAGACTGTGTACAGTAATATGTTTCACACACTAACCTTGTTTTAAAGACATATCAAACACGCCAAATAATGCTGACTATGATGTGTAATAACGTGTGTAATTTTGTGACATAGCAGAAAGTGTGCCCGTTTGTTAAAAGAAGAATAAAAGAAAAATCTGCTTTACTTTAAATGACCAAGAAATGACTGCTGTGTATGAACTTCTAGCACTTAAACATTTTCTTCTTTCTTTACACTTCATCTTTACAAGTGATGCAGGACTGATAAAGATCGATACATGCTTGTGGAATTGGGCGTGTTGTTGACACGTTTAATGTCAATTTCAGTGCAAAATAATGACTGAAAACCCTTAGTTGATTTTTTAAATACATGCTAAAATATACAGCTTCAATACTATTTTTGACTTTGATTTGCTTTAATTAATAACTGAATGCCTTAGAAACTGTAAATAAATGATAAGGCACTGGTTTTCACTGGCTTATAGCCACTTTGGACAAACTGAGCCAGGACTCCTTTTTATATTTCAGACTGACGGAGGTGATTACAGGGTCTTGGGGCTCCTACACCTAAAATGACACCACTGTGGCAGGAACAAGCTACAGTGGAATGATTTCAAGAAAAAAAAAGAGGCTGTAACAGAAACTGGCATCAGCCTGTGCTTTAATTATAAAAAGCACAGCATGAGTTGTCTGGGCCTTTAATTTTTGTGTCCAAATTCAGCCAACTGTCTACAAAGTTAAGTTATGTTTTAGTAATCTAACTGAGGAAACTGATCCTCTGCATTGTAACTATTCTAAACACTTAAGGGCAGAGGGCAGCCGGAGGTTCTGAGGCCAGAGGCTTAAAGAACAATCTAAACTTTTCATGTTTTAGCCCGTTTACTACAAATCACATATGCTTCCCATCACGACAATGCTGCTATTGTAGAAAGTCTTTTTTTTAAAGTATTTTCTCTGTTTGAAATCAATTAACAGTCTCATTAACAACCAGTTGTGTAATCAATCATAATGACCATTAAGTCGCTGCTATTTTTTGCCACATTACCATTAATTGTTGCATTATTCTTATTTTGAGGTAATGGTGGACAGACCTTTCAAATCAATGGACTGCATGACAAAATAGACCTTTTCACTGCTGACATTTTGACTTGTCATAGAGGGAAAGGTAGGTTAACAACATTAACAATGGCTGTGTTGCATTCAAATGTCCCAGGAAGCCATGAGAGTGTGATGGTGAGCCAGCATGCACAATACCCTCAAACGGAAGCAGCTAAATGAAATTTAGACATCATTAATTTTATGATGTCTAAATTTCTGTGTTTTTCCCACTGCGACATGTCAAAATGTCTTCAGTGAAAATGGTTTGTTAATGACTTGATGTGCACTGTTGTGCATTGCAGAACTCGAGCAAGTCTGCTCATTTTTAGCCACACTAGAGGTGTGGCCTCAGGGCAGTGGCTTTTCCAAACTATTGCACCCCTTTGTGATCAAAGTATTCATTATCTTTACTGGCTAAATAGTCTCTAGATCTGTCTCAAGATTTCTTTTATTTGGCACTATTCCTGCATTTGACAGTTTTTTTCTGCAGATGATGATTTCAGACATGGGACAGTCTAATTTTATTTCTTTTGGTTGTCTCAGACTGTGTTGAGGTGAGAGATGTCTTCTTCGTTTACAATAACAAACTTTTGCATGCACAGCATTGCATCACGCACTGGCGTGTGAATGTGTGTGTTTAAGTTCCATTACAGTCATGAGATAATGCAGGGCACTTTCCAAGTGTGTGCCACTTGAAATGAATGGAAACCAACAGCTGCCTGTCAAAAAAAATCAAAACCTACATGGCATGAATTTGCAAATTGTCAGCAAAAACGTGACATTGTCCTTTTAGGGACAGCGGCAGTGCTCCATTTTTAATTTGGGGTTTGAGGACCCACCGCACACAGTACAGCTCTGTGCGGGTTCAAATTCAGGACGTTCTTTCTGTGAGGCGACAGTAATCACAACTGAGCCAGTGTGTTGCCCCAGGAGGCACTTGAGCTGCCTAATATCCCAGCACTGTCCTCGTAATATAGCCTATATATAAAAGATAAGCAGTTATGTTAATGTGGTTATTAATTAAGTAAATCAGTGCATTCATTTGCAGATAATCCTATGTCAACATATACAGTACTTCTTCACATTTTACATGGGATGTATTAATATGAAGTCAGGCATGAACTCAGAATCTTAAAGCACTAATCAAAATTAGGTTTTCTTATTAATATGATAATTTGTGCAGCAAGAAACTCCACAGTCTAATCAGATCACCCTACTTTCTCCACAGTTTCTAATACTGTGTGCCGTTCTTGTGTTTTCCCAAGAACGCGTCTCCATGCAGCTACACAGACGGATGCCACTGTGTGTCGTAAACATCAATAAGATGACCTACAAAGTTGACAAAAGCACAAATCTTAAGGGAACCAGATCGAATAACTGTAACCTGCATGCTGAAAACTTTCTGTCAGGACTAAGCACAGGTTATATGGACAAAGGCCCAACACTGACTTGCCATGTAATGATCTTAGAGCATCCAATGAGGGCTAGTAAAAGTAGGGGTAAAATGGTAAATGAGTAAATGTACTTAGTTATTTTCCAACTCTGCCTGTGAGGAAGAAACATTATGCAGGCAGCTTAAGGGGCAGCTGGAGGAGTTTTGGATAGGAAACTGATGTGATGCATCATTATCAGCACTCTCTCCCTTTAGGCATGGATTTTATTAGAATTTGGATTGGATTTGGATTTACACTCCAAACATTTTAAGTGGGATTTTACAACTTTCCTTTTACTACACGTTCACTCATTGTTGTAATTTGCTGTAAACAAACGCCACAGAAAAAAGCATTGTAAATCACAATTACAAAATGGTATTTACTGGTGAGAAATGGATTGATATAATATGCTATATCAATCCCTTGTTGGGAAGTAAGTAACTACAATTTGATTTATAGATCACCTTTCAATACCTAGGTTACAAAGCACTTTACAAAAGAATAAACTGTTAAAAGAACAAAAGATCAGTAAAAAGAACATTATAACAGGAGACATAGCACAGAGAAATCAACAACCATAGAGACGTTACAAATCAAAAAAGTGTGCATAATAATGATTGGTCTTCAGGTGTGACTTGAAACATCCAAGCGAGTTTTCTGACCTGACTCCCAGGGGGGAAACTGTTCCACCGCCTGGGACACAAGACGGCAAAATGCACAATCCCCTCCGGTCGTCACTCAGAGGACCTGAGGGGCCAAGCAGAGTTATTAGTATTAGTAGTTCACTTCTATACCCCGGAGCAAAATTATTAAAGATGAGGAGGGGGATCTTGAACTGAATCCTAAATTTAATCAGAAGCCAGCACGTCAGAACCGGGCTGATATGAGAGCGATATGAGGTCTTGGTGAGTCATTTTGCTGAAGAGTTTTGGACTCACTGTAACCATGTAACAGCATCTTGGCTTAGGAAGAAATGAAGAGCATTGCAGTAGTCTAAGTGGGAAGAAACAAAAGCATGCATAACCATTTCCAGCTGCTGGAAAGATAACATATTGGAAAGAGGACATATTTTTGACATGTGATATTCCTCCGGTGAAAGTAACAGGACTCTATGAATGTCTTGATGCGTTTTTCAAATTTCATCTCGTAGTCAAAAATGACACCCAGGAACAAGATTTTCTAGGAGCAGCTAATGAGCTGTGGTGTTGGAAGATGTTAGTAGAGACCTGATGTGGGGCAAAAACCTGAGCTTTAGTTTGACTGTGATTTAACTGAGGAAAAATTTGAGACATCTTGTCACTAATCTTGGTCAGACACTTGTGTAGAGTTAAATTTGAGAACCGGGACTAACTGATAAGTAGAGCTGTGTATGATAACTGTAACAATGATAAAACACACAACCAAAGTGCCAGATCAAGTGCCCTAAGGGATCATATATGATGAAAATAAAATGGGTTCCAAGAATTGACCCCTGAGGCACCCAACAAATCAAGGGAGCACAGATGGATGCCTTGCCATCAGTTGAAACAAAAAAAACTTCCGGTTAGATAAATAAGTGTTACAGCCACTTCTGGGACACCCACTACCACACCCTCCACCTCCAAGTATGCCTCTCTCTAATCCTCCCTAAGTGTCTCTCACCCCTCTCCCTTTTTCTGTGTGTATATGTGTGTGTGTTGTGATGGCCTGCAGGTGTCTCAGAGTCAGAGCAGCGTTCCACCAGCTGCATCCCATCTCCGTTATCAAGCCCTCTTCAAATACTCAGCTCAGCCATGTCCACCCTCCCAAATCTCTGCTACAGTCAATATACTGTATCTATATTTCCAGCCGCGCCTTGCACTGGTTTTTTGCTATCAAGCTTTCTGTCCTTGTTGTTGTTCCCTGAACTAATTGTCTCCTTGCCTGACCAACCCTGCTCCCTGCCTGTTCCCCTGGACTTCCCTCTGGATTAGCCCCCTCTGCCCCTTGTTGCCCTGCTCCTGTAACCCCAGACTTCCAGTTACCAGCTCACACTGCCTGTGAACTTGCAATGAATATCTTTAACTTCCTCTCAGTTTCTGGAGTCCTGGTCTGTGTCTGCACCTCTTCAGTTGCCACTAAAAATGAGAGGATGACAGTTTAGTGCTACATCAGATATCTCAACCCATTCAAACAATTAGAATAACGTGATCAATAGTGTCAAAGACCGCTGACAAATCTCTGTGGTCTAACAGCATGAGAATGTCATTCATGACCCTGAGGAGAGCTGTCTCAGGCTGTTTGTGCTGGAAGCATTTATCAAAAATGACATTTTCTTCAACATGTTCCAGAAGTTTCTTGCAGACTAATTTTTCCAAAACATTAGATGTAAATGATAACTTTGAGATAGGGCTGTAGTTCATTGGTAAGCTGGGCTTTCAGTGCGGTTTCTGTGGGAGGGGTTGAACTAAGGCCACTTTAAAAGATTCAGAAACATATCCTGACAAGAGGGACTGGTTCATAATAGCAAGCAGAGATGCTCCAATAATGCTAATGGCTTCTTCAGGTAATTTGGGAGTCACAATGTCAAGGGGACACACGGAAGAACAAGTGTGGGAAACAGTATCAATCAAATCACTGAGGGAGATGGGAGAGAACTGAT